CTGTCCAGGAAGGAGAGGGCAACTTTGGCCCAAATCCAAAACCCACTTCACTCGCTTCAGTGGTGAGATGAGAACAGCAATTAGATATTAAAAAAATCAATATATGACAATTAAAAAAATGGAAAATGGATAGCAATCAATCACAGTGAGAAACCATGGTGGGTGGAGAATGGGTTAGGGGAGCTGAGGATGCTGAGGAAAACTCATGCCTGGCATCAATGGGGAGATGAGGAGAGAGAGCTTCTTAGGGTCCTGGAGAAAAGAGAAATCCTGGAAGCACTGGATGGAAGAAGCAGAGAGGTAGATATTTTTAGTAAGTATTTGTGCTGCAGACCTGGAAAGCAGCCGTGTTATGTTTCTGTGTCATAGGTGGGTGATGATATTTTTTTTAGCTCATAAGTAGCTAAAGGAGGATTTTGCACAAGGTCCAATGGAGAGAAATATTTTTAAATAAAAAGGCCCTGACAACTTGCACCCCTAAGAGTTGACATGTGATGCTGGTTTTTAATAAAGCTTATGGACTGGGAAAATGCTGTCAAGAGCTGGTCAGGGTGATGTGGGAGAGTTGGCAACACTTTGCTTATCTCTTCTGTGCAAAATAATTGAAGAGCCAACATAAGATTCAATTGATATAGAATTAAAGGCCAGAAATATAATTCATACCTCTCAACTTAGATTTATGGAATATAGATCTTGTCAAATAAACCTGATTTCATTCTTCTAGATGACAACTTTGGTTGATAAATGTAGATGAAATAGACTCTGCACCACGTTGGACGCAGCACTGTGTGACATTGTGCATAGGAAGACCGAGCACTGGGGGGTACAGCTAGCCCAGATGGTTCAGAGCTGCCCAGCAGATTTGGGAATGTGGGGGCTTAGCTGTATTGGTCAGCAGAAGCTGGTGGGAGCCGCAATGGTGGTTAGCACTCCATTGGTGATCTAGAAATTAATATGCAATTGCAGCTGATTAGGATTATGGATAAAGCAAAGACAGGTGGATGGCTGAAGAGGGACAGATTAATGGGTGGTCTGGAAAGACTGTGAAGAAGGGTTTGTTGAGAGCACATTGGGTACAGCCTGCCATGGTCCTTGGCTAGAAGAGCAGAATCAGGACTGTGCTTACAGAGCTGAGGTGCAGTACTGCAGAAGGCAGGATCTCCATGTCAGAGGAAAACCAGCTCCTTTCCAGCATGATGCCAGGGTGAGAAGGGCTAGGCTGGTCCTTGAGTAGTGGAGGAGGATGAAGGGGTGGCTTCAGAATGAAAAAATAATTAAGTTTTGAAGTGTGCCTGATTTCTGGGTGCACAAGTACACTTGGTGTCTGTGAGGAGGCAAGTCACATACCAAATAGCTTTTCAGTTTACCAACCACAAAAAACCTCAGCAAAAAAAGAGAACAAGTAGAGATGGGAGCCACAGAAATCCAGGTTACCTGTCTGGAAGTGTGGTTAGCTCTGGGAACTGAGTGTGATGGCAAGCAGTGGGTGTTCTCCATGTCTTCTGAGCTGGTTTCAGTGGTTTTCAGTGCAATATTCTGCTTTGCCCTGAAGATATTTTGTGAGGCTGGAGGAGGTCATGCTTTACCGAAAGACACCATGCTGGTCACAGAATGATACGTTTTGCAGGAAAGGTCAGAGAGTGAGAACAGGTGTTCCCTTTGAGCCTTAAACTCCTTGATGTGAAGCAACTGAGGATGTGAGCTCCAGCTCTGCTGCTGGTGGCTGAGGAGGGCTGGTTTGATGGTGACCTGCTTTGCATCTCTTTATGGAGGATTCCTGGTAGCCTCTTGGAAATCAGATGAAAGCCCTAATGGCATCACAGTGCTGCTTTGGGTAACACATCCCATCACATTGTCCTGGTGGATGATGAGGCACAAAGAGCCCTGTGGGTCCTTCTCCAGCACTGTCCTTGACCAGCACCAGCTACTGCATCTCCCTGCTGTGAGATCCACCTCTCTTGACCGTGGTCTTACTCAGATATGTTGTCTGGGAAGCCTGTGTGGACACAGGCTGGTCCATAGGTAGAAGACATCAGTGGATACACAGTCTGCAATCCTGTCTGACTTTTGAGGAGACCCCAGTGCTGTACCAAAAGCCATGGTGGGATGGGAGGAAGGGAAGGTGAGTCCCTTCAAAACCAGGGGTTGCCGCAGCAGTGTAAGGACCTATATTGTCTCTGCAATGCGTGGATTAGTGCCGTAATTCTTGCAGTTTGGCAAGGCTGCATCGGACTGGAACGTATCTCTAGGTGGTGATATGGTCAGTCAATAGCCTTCATAATTAATCAAGCACTAATAGACAAATTAGAAATCATGTCTCTTCAAAGCAGGAGGTGGAGACAAATGGCTGGTGGATTTTAACTGTTTCGCTCCTTTATTTTATTGCCTGGTTTTATGTTGCTCTCTTGAAAATGGTGGGTTGTTTGGGGAAGTTTTGTACATAAACATGATTTTAAATTTAAATTATTATCTTGATTACCAAATGCGGATGGTGAATTGAAAACTTGTTTTTAGGCAAGCACATGAAGAATAATCTTACATTTTACACTCCACTAAATCAATGTAGCCCTAATTTTGCTACGCAGGAAATCAATTCCAGTCTTCATAACAGTCAAAGATGTTATGAACAAAGTAATTTCACAAATTATGGCAAGTAACACATTTATTGATGAGTGTAGTTTAGAAATTTAGAATTTGTGAGCGCTGTAATATAATAAGGCCGTACTGGCAGGAGCTGAGTGAAATACAGATTATATGGTGAAACTGTAATGCATCATTTGCTATTAGTGGACTGGTAATAATTACCAGTTTCAAAGCAGCTTTTTCCATGTAATCTTTAGTCTCAGTCGTAACAGCCCTTCTCATTGACATTATGATTACATGAGCTGCCCTTATGATCTAGAATATCTAGTTGATGGGAATACTAAAATGTGGTAGCGAACGCTCGATGTTGTATCCTCATTATAAGATAAAATGCTATTTTCTCTGACCTGATCTATAAGGTAGAGAGGCGACGCAGTGTTACGTTGTTAGCTCCTACCGTGGTGTTAAAAACTTCCACTTCGTTATGGTGAAGCAAGATGAAATTTCCCTGTTAAGATTTTTTTTTCCTGAGCTCGCAAATGAGCATAAGAATGTGAAAGTCCAATTGAATTTTCCTCTAATTTCAGCAGATTTAAGTATTTATCTGTGCTCGCATGCCTGGCACACGCTAAACACCACAGTGCATTTTATTCCAATGCCGGCTTCAGGATGAAATGTTAAATATTATTCCAAAGACTTTTAAAGCAATTAGAGTGTTAAACACCTGCTGTAGACAATTGAGTCTCTTTGCTCACCTGATTCAGCTTCTCAGGCCAAACATAGAATAACAGCAGAGGAAGAAAGCTGTGATGGGGCAGTACAGCCAGTGCTGGATCTGCTGGATAACAGAATGGTTTGGGTTGGAAGAGATCTTAAGGATATCTAGTTGCACGTCCCCAGGTCATCACTCAGCTCACCTGAGGAAGAAAGTGCCCACAGGAAGCTTTTCTTCCCCTCCTCCCATATGAGATGAGAAATAAGTCAGGCATGGATAAATCCATGTTTTCTTTCCAAATCTGCCTTAGTTATTTTGTTAATTTTTCTTTTTTTCATATTAGGCAAATAGGGGAAACATAATGGGGGCAACTCTCAGTACAGCCCAGGAGTGGTGCCTAAGAAGCAGATTCTTTGGAATGTAAATGTTGGGTCAGGGCAGGAGTATGTGATGAAGACAGGTATCACCCCAAGTGGTGATGTCCTTGGAGGGCTCCTGGTTTATTCCTCAGCAAACCTCAACATTATGTTTATTTTGTAAAACCTCACTAAACAGCAGCTCTAGGAGAACTGCTGAACAAGGCTGGAAATGGATTTTATCCCCCTTTTAGCTCTGGTTTCAGTTTACCAGCACTTAGCAAAAAGCATACATATGGGGGTGGAAGTGAATTATTCCCCAAATCCCAGTAATTGATAAAAGATCCCTCACCTTCATCATATCTCACACCACTCCTTCCTCACGGGCAGCCCTCAAAAAGTTATTCATCCCCCTTGTTTTGCCATATATTAGGAGGGGCTGCTCTCTGCTGTCATTATTAGCCAGCTTTTTGTTTAGTTATTTATTAGTTGGTTGCTCTTTTATAATGTCCATGTTATCTCCAAAAATAAATTATCATGAAATAGAGTTAGCTCACTACTTGCCAAAGTGGCATTTACCATCCTCAGCTTCTTTTCAGCGCGAGAGAAATAA